GAACAAGTTAATGGCTTAAAATGTTTTGTTATATATAGCAAGATAATGGCTTAATAGGCCGTTATCTAAACCCCCGGAAGTTCTTCATCAAGATTTTGTAGAAGTAGGATGGACTGATGGTAAAAACAGTCGTTTTCCTTTCGTCTACTTGCGAGAAAAGTGCCAGTGTCCTGCCTGTTATCACAAACCTTCCAGTCAGCGAATATTACACATGAAGAACCTTGATCTGAACTCAAGACCCTCAGCAACACATATCAAAGAGAATGGTACAAAAATTGAGATTGTTTGGCAAGATGACCATGTCAGTGAGTTTGAATCGGATTGGTTATACAAAAAAATACTTCCCAAAGCAAACACTAGTGAACAATCTATGATAAGAGAAGGAGTCAAAATCTGGGATAGAAACCTGGTTATTCCAACTTTTGGCTTTGAACCCATGCTGAAAGATGAGCATGTCTTGCTTGAATGGTTGGAAACAATGCGTAAATATGGTGTTGCAAAASTCACAGGTGTACCAAAAACATTAGGGCAGCTTGAGAGACTTGGCAATGCAGTAGGGTTTTTGAAAAACACATTGTACGGGTAAGAATGATGTTGACATTGACAGCTCCATAAGATGAAACTGAGCTTGCTATGATAGATACCTGTGATTGGATTAGTTGCAAAAAAGGTATTTATCTCTGAAAGCTCTTGATGTTTCACTTCAAAAAGGCACAGTAACCTTGTACTTGTTATAGGAGTCAAGGAATATAGCCTGGTTTTCARCTGTGGCCCAGGTCTTAATATGCTTGGCACAGTGAAATGTGAAACCCAGCTAAATCAGGCATGTAATATGGGCGAGTGAATTACCAAGAGTAGTGTCACAAACAGTCCATATTGTTTTTACAAAATGTATATTTCAAAGACTTATTCAAAATACACAGGAATCCCAATGAGCAAATCAAATCAAATTTTCACGTCAATAAGATCATCTTTTGAAACCTTCTAATTCTTAAAATATTTTAATTAAACAGAAATCATGCATGACTCTCATGCATATTTTTTAGAGAATCAGTATCGTTGAAAAGTGAAGCTAATGCCAGGAGTCTYGCTTATACCAACAAAGAACTCCAACCACATACAGATTTRCCTTACTATGAATTCAAGCCAAGTGTGAGTTCACTAGTTGTTTAGTTATGTCTAGTTCCTATCTTTAATTGTCATACCTGGGTTGCTATTCAAAAGGTGATTTGATAATATTTTATTATCAGGTAATTCTCCTTCAATTCATTGAACAAGTCAAGTCTGATGGAGGTGCAAATACTTTGGTAGATGGTTTTAATGTTGTACAACATTTTAAACAACAGCAKCCAAGGTACTTTGATCTTATGGTTTCAACTGCAGTTCTATGGCAAGTTATTGGCACAGAAAAGATCTATGGTGATTTTAGGATGATGTTYCCAAGACCAGTTATTGAGTGAGTGCCATATCCTTTCCTTTCTCAGAAATGTAACTATTTATTAGAAAAAGTTATTTCAGGCACCTTCATTACTGCTTGCATGTCTATTGTAGTCATCATTGTCAATACAATTTATTTACAGTAAAAAGCATGTCAGGGGAGTGTGTGCAGGAAGAGGGAATCCCAATTTGATATATATGAGACTTTAATTATATGTCATATCAATAACGTAGCTTCATTTTTGGATCGTCCAACTATTTGGAACCCAAGCTACAACACCCCTCACGAAAAAACACAGTAAACAGCCTTAATGCATTTTCAATATTATATCATCTGACGCTAATGTTGCTAATGTTGTCGTTTGATGTTTTTTTAGAATGGGATGGACTGGAAAAGTTGCTAGAATCAATTACAATGAACCTCTCAGAGAGGCTTTTGTTAATGTATCTGTGGATGAGATCACTGACATCTACCATGCTTACAGTGCACTTACTAAAATGTTTTATGATCCACAATTTGTTGTCAAAACTAAAATGTCTGCAGGRGAAATGTTGACTATGGATAATGACCGATTGTTACATGGTAGGACAGCTTATGAAGTACACAACAATGACAGAAGATGGCTTCACCAGGCRTATATTGACTGGGATATTCTACTGTCCAAAATGAACGTTTTGAAGGAAAAACTTCAAAGAGCAGATTCTATAGATAATTAACATTTTAATATCTTTGAACCTATTTTCTGTATATCAAATATAGTAGTCCGTTATTTTTTATCAGTGATATCCATGAAACAGATTTATTATCTCATGAGAAAGGAGACACTAAGCCAGTTGAAAATTGATCAGTAAATCAATCAATAACATAAATCAACTATCTATCACTCAATCAATCGATTAGATAGCCAATCAGTCAAGAGATCAAAACTGCCAATATCTTATTGAAATGTTCTGTATATTGTTAAAAAAAATGCTGATTGCATAAATTTCTTAAGTGCAAGTTTTATGCTCATTTTGAACCTGTAAAACAACCAGCTCAAACGTCAAGTTGTGCAAATCGCGTCATCATCTGTTTTCCTGTCCGCGACTTCCTGATAACTATTGATAATCGTGATAACGRAAAAAACAGCACTATTCGCCGTCCCTCGTCCATACAATTTGCGCCGCGTCTCCTAAACAGACATATATGGCCACACATATTTCATTATCTCGAATGGAAGACTTGTATCCGGCAGCTCGTGTGTTACGTCACAGAAGATTGCGCGCGCGTAATTTTGACGTCACAAGGAAMGCCATAAGTATGTCAAACTGACCTGATGAACTCGAAAAAGAAAGGTTTATAGTGGTCTAATGAGGACAACGGTGTAACTCATGCTGCCGAACTTAGATTTGGAAACACCATGGATTGCACCTGGTCCAAAATGGAACGAAGCTTTTATCGCGTGGGATATTTTCTGGGATGTGCATGTCTACTTTTTTGGTGGAGTTTTTGCAGTGACTTCGTTGTACTCATTGCATCGTATTTTGCAAGTTCTCTACGGAAAGAAACCAAGAAAGCACAAACTTGAACTTATGGTCCTTCTGTTTTCGCTAGTATTTTCTTTGACAAGGTGTGTCATCCTGTTTGTGGATCCATATCATCAAGGGACGAAATTCAGTGGAGCTCAACCAACACGCGTTTTATGGGGTTTAGGGMCACCATGTCTAGTTGCAACAAACCTTTCCCTTTTGCTTCTTCTTTTGAAAGACTGCGAGTTCACATACTGCGGCGCGTGCGAGTATAAATGTCAGTTTGCATTAACTGAGACTGTTATAGTCTTACAACTAACGCTGTTCATCGTAAAAGACTCGCTGTCCTATATACCGATCCTGGCAGAAAAAGCTTGTCAAGTGTGGTTTGTTCTTGTACAATTGTACGTATCTCTAGCGTTTCTTACGCTTGCCATTGTAGTGAAAAGAAAGCTTCGAGAAATTGASGGACTGACCACYGGTTCTTGGATCGTTTTACTGTTAGTTTTATTGAGTTTTACAATCTTGATTAATTGTGGAGCAACTGTCTTTAATGTTCATTTAATGGGATTATTCAGTGCTCCTCCTTTGTTTATCGATTCCTGGAAATGGTGGACTTTGGAAACTTCTCTTCGTTCATCTGAAATGCTGTGGTGTGAGTTTGTTATGGCGGCGAGCGGTAAAAAACAACGAAAATATCTTTCTTTAGAAGCACCCGATTACGAAACGTTCAACTACCTTAACGCCCTCGCAAACTACAGAAACTCATCGTCGTCAACAGACGTTAAGAGCGATGAAGGCCCTCGCGAGAATATTTATGAGAAGCGAGAAGATATATACGAAAAATTGACTCCGCGCGAGGACAYTTACGGACATCGCACTCCTCGCGAGGATATCTACCAGAATGTAAAACCAAACAAAGACATCTATGGAAACAGAAGTCCTCGTGAAGGTATATACGGAGAAAGAATCCCGCGAGARGACATTTACGGACAGCTTAGCCCTCGCGAGSATATCTACGGGCAACATAGCCCTCGCGAGAACATCTACGGACAGCACAGCCCGCGCGAGGTAATCTACGATCATGTCAAACGTGATGACGAGGTCTACGGACATCGCGTACCCCGTCTATCAGACAGTTTTTACAGCGATGATGAAGAGGAGGACATGAGAGATGATTACGATTCACCTAGAGACAAACTTGCCGACCAAGATTACTATGACGACAGTTACTATGACACACGGGGTAACTATGACGACACACAATATTATGATGACCGGTATTACGATGATGATGACTACGATGACCACTATTATGATGACGATTATACCGATTATGATTATTGATAATCTAGTGTTTTAYGACAATTCCAGCCTCCCGAGTCCATATGTTCCTCTAAGATGTATTAATTAGTTATCTTTACATTTGACATTCCTTGTCTTGACGTACATGGGAATAGTTCGTGATGAGACACAATGGTCAYGTGGCATTTGATGGTGGCAAAGTGYGTATAATAATTTTATAACAATTCATTTCTATTGTAACTATTTTTCCAATTAATAAAATTTACTTAAAAACTTCTTCAATGAGTCATTTAATCAACTTGTGCTTCCAGACTTGTTTTGAGGGTTCGTCTTCGTGACAGTGTCATATCTTTGTCGGTGAACCCGCTTTCAAAGACTTCCTTTCCTTTTACTTCTGGTTGAAATGCGTTTCTCCCAGCTAAGACACGGTCACAGTCATAAGATATAATATCACCTGATTGAAGCTTGACATTGATTGTGAACTGCATGTCCCTTATTATGTTTGTCAGTTTATAGTAAGATCGATACAATTTTGGGATTTCTTCAGGTGTGGCATGAGAAAATGTGGTTCTGTTGGTATTATTGTAGACGACACTTGCCAMATGTCCAGAAGAATTCAGTCTGAAAAGAGCATGATTACTCTAAGACACTTGCAAAATGGCTTTCAGAAAAACTAGTTTTCTTAAATATTTCAATAAAACAAGCTTTAAAGGAAATACAGAATGTTTTGCTATAAGATGCATTTTCAGAAAACACAACATCTAAAACAGTGGGCACAAAATCCACAAAACACACACACCACTATGATTTCCTACCTTATGATTGGACGAGAAAACACCATGTCAAATTGCTTCATGTCTTTACTGGCTGTTCTTTGTTGGTACATTATAGGAGAGGTACACAGCATATTAAAAGCCTCAGGGTCATTATCTTGTAGGTGTTGTGCTATCCTAAATCCATCAGCAAATGTGTGCTCACCACCAAGTCCCTCAGCTTGCTTTTGACAGTGAATCAAGTAAAGCTGAAAAATTTACAAATCTACTGTAAGAAACACTTCACTTACTGTCTTGCTATTTGTACAAATCTTACCCCACCCCTGTATTCATCGTAGGGTGATGATGACTGAGGTAACAGAGTGTTAAGCTGCTCATTTTTGCCAAAATCCATTGCAACTTGCAGTGATTTTCTGAAAACAGAAAKAAACAAGTATTCAAGACTCTTCCATCAGCTGCTCTTTGAAAGTACAACATGTTATTCTTACCCAAACCACATTTCCTTTAAAAATCCTAATGTTTCACCAAGTTTGTGAATCTGTCCTGGTTCTTTAGGTGCATCTTTAAGTAGTGCTATTCCATAACAATGGATCATGTCCAGCCACCTTATTTGGGCAGACTTGTTCTTGATTACCTCATCAAAATGGAGCATGGGGACATCTCCTGACATCTGCTGGTCCCATAACTGAATGGAGTTGTCAATAATCAAACTTTCCTAGAAAGAGAAACCAGTGATTGGGAATAATATAGTGTTAGTTTTTTGCCAAATGCAGAAACAGTTGTTTCTTCTCCTAACCATATTCATTTTCTGTTSTCCTTGTTCTGGAAGACGTCTTTCAAACAACCATTCAGAACTAAAGCTAGTCACATGACTATCAGGCCAGGTCAATGTTATTTGTTTTCCATCCAAATGAATATCAGCTTGAGATGCCACAAGATCATTAGTCAGTCCTGCTACTGAGTCAAATTTCCTTTGCTTGGAGGAATCACGGTCATAGCATTCAGGACACTGACAGATATCACGTAGATATACAAATGGATATCGACTGGTTGTTCCATTGTCCCATGTAATGCTTAATAATCTTTCATCAGTTTTTGAAACCAACTGTGTCACTAGGCGAGAATTAGTGTGGTGTAGTGATGTTGTTAATCCAGCAACACGTTGAAGGCAGAACWTTGACGGTGTGCTACAGAATCGTKTGGCCCCTGAGACCAGTCGCTGTAGCATGTTGTATTGATCTAATAATCAATCAGACAGTCTATTGAAGAAATATTTCATGAAAGTAATTTTTGTTCCAGGGTAGGCAATAATTTTGATTATATTTTTGGAAATTGTCAAAATCCCCATCCCAAGCCCAACCACGTCGGACTAAACAATGATAGGTTATCCTTTTCTTTAGCTTAGGGTTAGTTCCAGCCTTATGCAAGGATTAGCGTTCCTGTAACCTAAGAGTCCTAGAGAGGCTAGGGTTCCTTGATTGAGGGAGGTTTGGGGGATGGTGTAGGCTAGGGTTAGGGTTAGCTAAGGGTTAGGCTCTAAACACTGGGTTTCAAAAGCAAMCACCCCCGGAACATAATTTTCAATTGGCATACTTTAATCCCCGCACATACTTAAGATTAATTTTTAAAAACGTGAATCAAGATGGTTTCTAATCAGCGAGAGTATTAAAGCTTACTGTTTATAGCTGAAGATGATATATCGACCAAAAATCAAAACGCTATCACATACAAAATCCAATAAATAATTAATTCTTGACCTYCAGGCATTGTGCAATACCTTCTTCAGAACGTACGTCTTTTAATTCGCGAACAGCTAGCTCCAAATTTCACCACGGAGCACGGAGAACACGGATAGTCCACACAACAACGTACGTCACGGCGGCATGCAGGTTAGAGCAGCGCAAAGACAGCTGGGAAGTGTCACGCATTCCATATTATCCACACTAGTCCATGAGTAATACTATTTCGATTTAAGCAAGTCCTTTCGATCTATAGATAGGAGAGAATTCCCTCTTTTTAAACGTTTTGATGGATAACGTTGAAATARCAGATCTAAAGGTTGTTCCATGTGTTGACTCGCGATTTATTCGACCTTCAAGAGTTGTATTCAAACAGGTAAGACAGATCTCGTCAAGCTATAAGCAGCTATCGTTAAGAGCAATGATAACAGAATTATACTTCAACACAGACATGAAAAATTTGTTAGGATTGCAAACCTAACTGCTCCGTCACTTGTAAAGTGTATTTCTTGTAGTTCCATGTCATCCATATATTWTGAAATCTTATCGTGCTTATTCAGCATTTTATGAAGTTTGGAAAAGYTCATTAAGCTTAAATTTTAAGCAGTAGATCTAAAGAAATAAAACATTATCGTTTCTGTCTGTCCAAGCTGCAAGTTGTATTCTATGTTTATCTGTGTGAATTTCTCATTGGCTTTTGTGGAATATTTCAAATTTATAAATAGTTTCTCAACCCACATCATCCCCTGCAGCTTTCTGAGAATTTGGTGGCTCCATTATTCAGAAATTGTCATTCTGTTTCTGTCAATTAGAATGGAMAAGAGAGATTATGGGATTATATCAACGAACATGACGAGTAGGTCTATCATAATTTAACATTGATTATAATATTCATATATATGTATGTATAGAATGGTGCACAAAGAATTTGGGATTATCTAATTGTTCATGATAGGTAGGTTGAAAATATAATTTTATATTCCATTGCTTATGAAGGAATTCTTAGTAGCTTTTTACACTCATAGGAGTTTGTTAGCAGTACTGCATTATTTTTAAAATGTGACTTCTTTTGCCCCTTACAATTTATTCCAAGGGTTTCCAATATCACATGAAAGATTGATACTGAATTGATTCCTTCTCTGTTTCAGTGTTTGCTGTATTGTGTTCAATAAAACAAGACAGGCTTTTGTTTTGGTGAAACAGTTCCGACCAGGTAGAAAAAAAAATCATATTTCCCTATAAATACCAAATTTCCATTTGTTAATACACATATTTTTGTTTTTAGCTATCTACATGCATACCAATCGAAAACTCTTCAAACAATCAAGTGGCAATAGCAATGTCTTAGTAACAACTGAAGACCCATCAACAAAAGCACTAGCTCCACCATCTGCAGGAGTTACATATGAACTTTGTGCAGGGATAATTGATCAGGAYATCAGTCTCACWRCTTTAATGAAACAAGAACTCCTAGAGGAGTGTGGTTACAATGTCCCTGAAGAGAAGATTCAAAAAGTTTCTAAATTCCGTGGAGGTGTTGGCAGCACAGGRTCTGAGCAAACACTRTTCTAYGCTGAAGTTACTGATGATATGATAGTTGATGGGGCTGGAGGTGGAAATCTTCAAGAAGGAGAAAGAATTGAAGTGTTTTATTTACCTTTAGAAAAAAGTAGGGAGTTTGTTTTTGATGAATCTAAGGAAAAACCTGCTGGTCTCCTCTTTGCATTCATGTGGTATTTTAGTAAATTTAATGTACCAATATAGGCCAAACTTTTTTATTATTTACAAATATTCATTTGGAGGATATTATTGATAGTTCAAGGGTTKTCCAGTACTATGACAAAGTGATGTATAGCATTGTATTATATTCACATAACATATCAATAGATTGCATGTAACAATATGATGCATTTGAGCATAGGTGCTAACTATGATTTGAGAATGAAGCAGTGCAATAGAATACAATGTCAAGTTCATGTTATATTGGAAATAATTTGTTTTTGGGTCCTTTAAACTACTATTTATAATGGAAAAGAAGTTATATATTTTTATTTAGATAACAACTATGGATTTTATACATAACTAAGATGTATTATGTAATTAATGTTGATTAGACTGACACTAGTATTGATATAAAAAAGATTAAAAAAACATACAAATGTCATTTAATGGGTTATTTGTGTATCAAAGTCCAACAAGTGATTATCACCACATACACCCGGCATTGTTGTATTATTTTATCAGCCTCCTTTGCAACTATTCTTTTTCTTGGGCTCCCTGTTCCTTTCATTTTCTTCAAACTGACATTTTGAACAGTTGACTTCAAATTAGCAAACACCATTAGGCATGGATCCTTCAATATCAATTCTTTTATGGTCAGATCCTTTACCACAGAGAAGGCARGTCATGGAATACTCCTGAAAAATAATAACAATATAAGTATATTACACGCTAATTGACCAAAATATAAATWTTGCTGGACATTACATGTTGTCCAAGTTTAACATGAAAGTGTATCGCAGTTCCCTGAGCTGTCTTGAAAAGTAGCTGTACCTTTATAGCCATCTTCTCCTAGAAACAAGAATTTTTCTCTCGCTGAATGCTCACTAAAATCCAAAGGCAAGGTTACCTTTCAAGATGGCGCATGGAACTGTGAGGGTAGACGATAAAAAAAAGCTTGTAATAACAGCGATCGACAACAGATGATGCATAAATATCATAACATGTCCATTGTTGGGTAACAGTGATGTCAAGATATATAGAATTGCCTGGCAGTGCATAAGCCAATCATAAGCAAGTATATATTAATAATACCTGATACTCATCGTCTACTCTAAATGTATAGGTGTGCTCAGCTATTACATGTCCACAGATTGTACATAAATCTGGAAAAAAGATTAAATACTGTCTGATGAGTGCGTAGCATGAAACTCGGAGCTACAGCAAAATCTTGCCTTTTTGATATCATATATATAAATCTGGAAAAACAAATATAGATAGAAATCATTCTGTACTAACAACTTCACAAGCTGTACTATGAAAGGTGACATTGCATTTGTATCCATGTGAGGCAGTACAGTAATTAGATATGAAGAAATTTTGTTATGAATCATGATATTTAGTGAATAAAGACAGTTTCTCTCATTGCATGCTCACTGATCATCTTGCTTCATTCAATGAAAAGKCAGGGTTACCTTTCAAGATGATGCAGCATGAAGCATGAAGGAGATATGATAAATATTCAAAATATATTATGAACAAAATGTGAAAGTCACTCACGTTTATAAGTGACAAGTTCTTCTTCATCTTCATCTTCTTGTTCCGTTCTGTTGGCTATAATAATGGGCTCTTTTTTACCACARCCTTTGCAACTCTCAAAGTTCCACAAGTATGATCCATTCTCCAAGCACATGTTACCCTAACATCAATAGAATATCATTTACAGGGGATCAAGAAATTTAAACATAACTTTCAAAATAATCGTYTATTACGTGGGGAACTAGTTCACCAAAAATCATGTTTGAAAAGCTAGATAGCACCTATTAAGGTTTAATTGTTTAACCATGAAAACGGAAAGTTGTCAAATTGTCAAATGAAATATAAAATATGATAATCTTACCCTGTCAGGAAGCTCCTCTTTCACACAGTCACGACACATTATTATTACCGAAAAAAAACTATTTTTAAACGAAATCTCGTCACAAAATGATTAATATTTCTTTTGATATAAACAGAAGAAGCCTTTGCTCAGTCCGCCATTTTGGTTCGTACCCAGTTCTCTGGACGTGAGGAGCAAGGAGGTCCGTCGCACCTCCCTGGATGATATGATAACCACACCCACATGTCTGCGCAATTTGGTTTTATAKTGTCTATTCAAACTAKCTTTTTGCTATTTTGAGCATATATGAATAATCATGGCAGATGTCAAGAAAATAAAATGCAAGTTTCAAATTCTGTCTCGTGTAAGGTAGCCATAGTGACATGTGGTCCCTCTTTGCTATGTTCCAGCTTTCATAGCAGCAAGCGTATTAAATTACTCACTCAAATCATGAATCCTATTGAAATTACAAATCTTAAATCTGACATAATGATAACGCCTAAGCTCGTTTTAAGTTGAATCTGAGTGAAGCTGGATAACGTAACAGTCGTGTATAAAAGGCTGAAATATGGGAATAATATATTGGAGTAATGTAAACCAAACTKTGAACATTTCAAGTGATGCTAATGTGAAAGACATACAAATGCTGCGTTTCGGGTAAATATGACATGTAGAATCAAGTTTAGTAGCTGGTTTTGCGCAGTCTAGTAGCAGAGGTCACTTCGCTCCATCAGCTATATCTTCTCTCTGTCGCTGGCTCTATGTGTCCTGACAATTTACTTTTACTTATAAACGAAAAGTGATTTTAAATTCTACTCACCTGATATATAATTATGAAAGTAATCAGGAAGACACCTAATTGATATGGAAAATGAATACTCTAATGTTGAACCATCTGTTGGACTGGAGAGAACGGACGGTTCAGACTACCTGCCGAAGTGAGCAAACGGAACAATTCCTGACTATCTACCATCTGAGATCGATTGRTGAACACATAACCGCATCACCGTCAGCAAWTTTTTTTGTTCAYAATTAAAAGTTTTTATTTGACTTAGATTTCTAMTGGAAACTTAAAATGAGGCATTTAATGTTATTTGAGTTTTATTTCTTGTATTCCTGTTAAGGTACGCTCGACATCCAATTGGTGCTATTGTAATCGCGATCACAGGTCTGGCAATATGGCTTCTTGGCTATCGATTAATCAAGGTAAGACTGTCTCGACGAGGTGAGTTTAATCTAACGWYCTGGTTGTCGAGWCGTAACGCTAAAYGATCTATTGAAACAAATTTTAAGGACCGTTTACACTTGCGATTTTTGCAGCGCGATAATATCGTCACTTGCTATCGCGCAACTCAAATCGTGCGTGTAAACAGCCCTGCGATTGTTGCGGCGATGGAAAATCACCGCGAAGTTGCAGCCAATTTTCAAACATGTTCGACTAAACTCAGGCGATGGTCGCGCGACGATCTCCGCGAGAATCGCTATGCAAAAATCAAAAGTGTAAATGGGCCTTGAAAATGTAGACAAATTTTATTACAATTTCTTTTGCTAGTGTGCAAAATGAATATATTCAAATACTTTTTTCTCGGCTGTCTTCTTCTCAATGTTTCACTTTGAAACTGGTTAGTTAGCTATGGAGCTATGTTTTTTGGTCTGCAGAATTATGTTTTTGTGTGTATAAAGTTGCACTGTTTTGCCGGTTTAGGTGATTGTAGTTGCCGCAGCCTTCATCTTTTCTGGCTGGTTCTTCTTTTCGTTTTCTCCTCATTTCATCCATGTTGACGTGTGTTGTGGTCCAGGAACTCAAGTTGAAGGTACATCAACACCAAACGATGTTCAGTAAACACGCTACATGATCGTCAATCCATACCAATTCATTTTTTTGTTTCAGTCCGTATTGCTATCAGTATCATCATTGCTTTACTAGCTGGTGCAATAGCTTGTTATGTGTATAAACTGGGAGTGTTCTGTCTTGGCAGTTGTCTTGGCTTAGTAAGTATAAACCATCAAATAAATGGACGCATTTGTCGTTTTATACTGATTTATGAGATTTTCTTAGGTTTTATCCATTGTAGTGACAGCTCTTGTATTAATGAAGAAATTGCACAGGTACGTGCAAATGTGAGAGTGAAGTACATAGATACTAGCTAGTTGCTTACACGACAAAAGYGACAGTACAGAAGGATACAATTGTGGTGCAAGTACTGCATGAATTATTATACCTTCCGCATATCATAACATCGACAACCAGTACTTGCCAGGGACACTGAAACTTGTGTTCTTCTATATCGTCTCTATTATGCCTGCCGAAGGAAAACTTCGATGGATTGATGACAATAATCTGTGTTTTCAGCCCTCTAGCATATTATGGGATATATAGTGGCTCTGCTCTAGTCKTTGGTGTACTTGCTGTTGCATTTGAGAAAGTGTTTGTGATCCTTGGAACATCGGTGTTTGGTTCGTTAGGAGTATTCTACGGTATGTAGWATGAATTCCCATATGGTCTAGCGGTTAGGATTCCTGGCTTTCACCCAGGCGGCCCGGGTTCGACTCCCGGTATGGGAAATYTTAATTCTTTTTAACTTTTTGCATATTTACAATAGGGCAAAAGCTGTTTTTGAGTGCTTTTACAAGAGCGACAGCAATAGATACATGCATGATAGATAGTTCAGTGAGAATGGGATTGAAAACTCGGACAAAACTGATAAGATGTGATTATGTGATTTTTGAATGGTGTCTGGTTCAAATATAAAACGAGAGAAAATGRGATTCACGGTCCTCTTGAAGTGTCATTAAACATTTTAAATACATTTTAATATTCGACGGGGAATAATGTGGTTGATTGAATTGTACACCCTACCTAGTAGTATTTAGAAAACGTAAAGCATTGGACTTGTCGTGCATATCAAAGGATTGTATATATATTTATTCATGCAGTAAGGAGTGGAGTTTTTTTCATATTTTTACTACGCTTTCTTTTGTAGCAATTGACTTCATTGTAAGGACWCCGTTTACACCTACCATGTTTTATACACTCAAGCTACTGGAAGGAGGGTTGTACGAGGCAGTTAACGATCCATCTGACTTTCATATTCAGTTTGAAACTGRAAAACTGACTGATAAAGGTAATMATGGGACTGAARGCACAGGGAACCCGAAACTAGTGAAAAATGCTGCGAAAAAGACTAAATGGCAAAATGTCGGTGTCAGTGCACTGGAAGTGCACTCTTGGTTTGGATTGCCTTAAMAAACCAGGAGAGAGAAACCGAAATACCGTGGTCTGTGGAGCGARCACTAAACGAAATCAGTCTAATAGCGCGTTTGTCACTTGATTAGCTGGCTAACTTTTGTTTTCAGTTTACTTGTTATGCATCTGAAATATATACTTTGTTAAAACCTTTTTTTTTTTTTTCGTTTATTTCTAGCAATAGCCATGTACGTTGGATGGATGTTAATGTCATTAGGTGGGTTTTTGATACAGTATATTTACACCAGTCAAGATATCAGTCCGAAGCTAATGGTTAAAACTTGTGGCGTWGAACATGGTGACATATGTGACGATAACATCGACCATTCACCCGCTCCACAATATATCTTACTACAATCCACTCCTATAGCAACACAGTTACATAACTATGGAAAAGCACAGAGGATAAGAARCTATCTGAAGTAGTCTCCTTGTTCAGTAGAATTTATTGCTCTTTGGTTGAAGCTATCATTAACGCAGTTCTCTAGCTTGTTGAGTGGGTTCAGTTTTGTTTGCTAATTGTAAATATAAAACACTGTTAAAGATTAAAATGTTTTGACATCTTTTGTTTTGATTCACTGACTGTTGACTTCTCGTCGTCTTCTCTTTGTGTAAATGGCATGCAACGCTATTTTCGAGTTATTTAATACCATTGGGAGTATATATAAACAGGAAAAATTGCTATGAAATAATAAATTAGAATTTTTCAAATTTTACAAAGTTGTACACTTCTTGTTGTTTGTTTTACTTCGACTGCGTTGTCGGTCGCCATGATCATGGTCCTTTGTTAGTGATGATCCAACTCTGACAAGTACCTGCCTTGTGTGTCTGTTCAAGCGTTAGGAACCTACTCCCTTAAAAACAGTCTAAAAATCACCATTAACACCGATTTTTTTTAAAAAATCGTTCCACAAGGCTTGCGTATGTGTTGGTTTGCTTCAAGGACCGCGATCTTATAGAATTGTTTACCTCGTCATTACGATAAACACTACAATGAAAAGTTGCTCAAAGACAAGGTAAAAAAACACGACTCGTGCAGTTGTACATTATGGCGAACAATACGACGGAGCATATCTTAAACAGACTTGTCTACAACAAGTAAGTTTTTTTCATGAGTATTAATGCTAGAATATTAGTAAGAATTAATATTAAAATGTRTAATTATACGATAATTAGGCCGCTATTGTCATTAGCCAAGTGTCACGCGTCTGAAATACCTGCATCGTTACTTCACAAGTAGTGTATGTACCACTGTACGAGAGAACGGATTGTAAACAAATTTTTACGTTATATTTACATCGATGAATCTACGTTCTTTACTTTTTGCGTTTAGGGCCTTAACAGCTTACAGAACTGAAGCACGAAACTGAAATTACAAACGAAAAGAATAGGCTTTCAATAAATGTCAGCTAGCAACGGAAAACATTGTACTGTAACTAAACGGTAGATTAGTGGTAAAATTATGATATGGGAGGAATTAAATGAGACCCTGGTATTGATGTTGCACGATTTGATTTTCCAGACATCCAGTAAGCGTGACAGTAGTAGAGATTCTTGCACTGGTAGGTGTTGTAATATGGGCAGCCGGTTATCGCCTCATCAAGGTATAGAAAAGGCCGCAACCTTTACCTTCATGTAGCGATGTTAACGTTGGAAATTCTGTTCTTGTTTCAGCCATGTATGTTTCTTGCTGCTTTTGCTTTATCGTTTTTGATATTTTACGTCGTCAGTCCAATGATATTTAAAACACAATTATGCTGTGGGCCACGGGGCAAAGAATGGGGTAGGTATCGCCCAGCTATGGCTTTGAAAAGTTACCACCACCTGGTACACTAATCCCTTTCCCCATAAGCTCACAAAGGCATATTCTATTGGATAAATGGAARATGTATCATTTTCAATACAGTCATCYSCATGTGTTGGTAAATCCATTCCCCAAAGTCCCTAGACTGCTATTGATGAAGAGATTTCTGTTTTGCTGTGTCAGTTTTGAAGAAGAACGGTTTTTTGACTATTTTACTCTTTTGACTAAAGGTCTTTTTCTTGTTTCCAGTGCATCTTCTTATCAGTGGTGTTGTAGGGGTATTTGGTGGGTTCCTTGGTTGTAGGCTTTATCGTCTAGGGGTATTCACCATAGGCGAGTGTTTAGGTTTGGTAAGTCCGCATTTACGTGTTGTCCCTCACATTAACAGTATGCGTGGCAGCTGCTCTGAAAGCATTATACTGAACACTCTCGATGCATGAATGAAGTTCAAATCACTATTGTTGCTTATCTACAGATCGTAGCTTTGACGATTCTTAGTACACCTTTATATGTCTATTTCAAAAGGTAAGTTACTCCACTTTGACACAAGTGACAGTTGGCTGAAAGTGACTGCTATCAAGCAATGTTTATCTTTTCGCAGTAACGCTACATATGGGTGCTTTATGGCAACAATATCGTTAATCTTTGGCTCCTTGGCACATTTTATCGAAAAACCAGTCCTGGTTCTATCAACTGCGTCATCAGGGTCGTTTTGCTTTCTTTATGGTAAGTGAATGGGAAAGATTAATAACGAAAGGAAAATCAAGGAGTTGAGAAGTGAAGTATGAGATGAAAGGACAGGAAAGACAGGAAACCAAGACCAGTAGTACAGCAAACGAATAAGCGCAACTGCAATTTTCTTCTTTTAATTTTCTAGGAGTTGATTATTTCTTGCGTTCGAGTTTCTCCGTTACAGTAGAGAGTTTTCTTCTTCGTATCAAAGATGTAGTAGAAGATGGAGTCAAGTCAGAGCTTAGTAATTGGACATACAGAGCGCACGTGCCTGATCACATGGCTGTACGATTCACCCCTGACGGTACRGTACACATTCTGACACGTGATACGTTGCAATGTATACTTTAGAGCTTTATGTCACATAGCCACAACACAGGGATACCGTATATTGAAAATTGTACGACAATAAGCCTGTTTTTTTTCTGTTTCTACAGCTGTCCCAATGTTCATTGCATGGGTAGTCAGTATCGCTATAGGATCTGCGATACAGTAYAAAGTGACCGCTAAAAACATTGACAGTAAATCAGGTTTGACTGATTTCTGTAGATGTTGTCGAGGTCCTCAGCCTGACAGGTGAAATCRCAAACAGCAACCTCATGTGCTGAGAAGAGCACAGGTAATGTAACCATGCAATGGCAATGAAACATGAAAGGACTTTCCATCCACATATCCATGCTCCAAACTACAATGGCCACAAAAGAGATCATAACAGAAGACAAAAAAWTCCAAACCAACCAACTTCTCAAAATATGAAGAACAATAATATTGACATCTAACCAGCGTAATGTTTGGGTGCATTGCAGGTTATTTACATCCAGAGAACATTATTTTTTTAAGTCAAATGCTGAGCATTTCAGTAAGATTTTTTTTTAGGTTAAAATTACAATAAAATTTTTAAGAAACAAATTGTCTTAATATTCTGAGTATTGAAATACAAATGTGGATTTTATTTTATGAACATTACATACATTGTGGACATTCACAGTCTTCAGAGCAAAATGRAACATATTTGTATTATTTACAGGAAAAAGGAAGTCTKCCATAACTATAGTTCTTTGRAACAGAACTGTGATCTGAAATTTCAGTTTTTGCYGWGTTATTTTACAYCATGATTTGGAAAATCCCTCTGTCAATACTATAACAGCTAACATTCAGCATCCAAACATCTTTAACCCTTTCAGCCCCAWGGTGTATTGCYGTTTTTAGTGATTGTTTTGGTCCTTACAATCAAAWKAGTTTCTCCACTTTTCACTTAGTACTTAGTCTTTGCTCTGTTAGACAGTCAGTGAGAAACAAGCAAAATTTGTTGTAGCTGGCTTCAGGGAGGTAATTATGTCTACTTTGTAGATGACATTGGGTTCCTTAGCACAAGAATAACAGAGTCTCCTCGTAAAAACATCTTTGCAATGTATCTGTCTTTGTTCACRGGCTTTGCCTTCTTTTTACCTTTACCAGATCTTGGTGTCTCYGTCCACATCTCTCGTACATTCTCCAGGACCATATTACAATGCCTGTCAAATGCTTTTACTCTTGCRAGGAGTTTCCTATTGTTACGGCAATTGATTAAGACTTGTGTATTGTTTTTAACCGATTGTGTCAGCACAGATAAAGGACCAGTATTGAATTCTTCTTGTTCTCTCTGTGCAAGCTCCTCTGGAGTCATTTCTGACTTTGGTTTGTTTAACCTGAAAAATATTKATGAWWTTTGAAAGTCCAATCACAAAATTCGCAACATCAGGAAATAAAAGTTAAGGTAGGAACCCCTTTTAAAATTTTTATTCCTAAATGGTGAAAACTATCAATTATAGCGTGCTTTACTTTAATTATAGGGTGCTTTACTGTTGACTATTGAGTTGTCAAAATGCAAAAGTAGGACGCGATCTTTGCATACAGTCCTCTATTAATTTATGAGAAATTTACTATCAAAGCAAAAACCAATAGTACTGTATACACAAAAGCTAGAAACAATAACCATATGGAAAAGACAGCCGCGATCTCAAATTATGAAAAATCATTTATGGCGGCGGCAAATGAGCGCATTACTGCACTGCRAACGATTGCCTCCAGTGCATGAACTAAGCAATGAAATTGAAAAATAAAGCTGAAAATGCAATAAGTATATAATGTAGTGCCATAAAACTTCTAATACTTACAAGGATGCCATCTTTTAGCCGAGATATGATAAAGATTATAACTACAACAAAGTTTTTCAGGAAGAAACGTTTCCAAACGTTGTAGCTAGTYACCGCGGGCTCATCTCCTACAAAAGAGACCTGCGCACTAGACGACTTGGTAACCACGCGATRGACGCATGGTCGACGTCTTTTTGCAAACTCTTTTGACAATTTGCGGAGTTTTTCTAGTCGTTTTGCCCCATAAATAGTAACKTGGGTTAATGTGGATGTGTTAGGTTAGTTTTAGTTTTATTTAGGKCCWACAAGAAGGCTCTAAACTCCATCAAACATGTCTTTAGCCGACGAACTTTTGGCCGACCTCGAAGAGGCTGGCGATGAAGGAGTAGATATCGACTACAGAGACAACGATAATGATATTGAAGAAGCTATGGAGACTACAGATACTGGAGACCTAAGCTCCAAGTCTGTCCGTTATGTAGCAAAACTGAGAGACAGTGATGAACTTCGTAGTGTGATGAACAGGATCACTGAATTTAGTAACAAGGCACGTGATCAAGTGTTTGGTCCAGTGGAAGTTGACCCGGAATATATTTTGATTGTAGAAGCTAATAACTTAACTGCTGAAGTAGATAATGAGATAAATATAATCCAYAAGTATTTGCGGGATTTATACTCCAAAAGATTTCCCGAGTTAGAGTCTTTAGTTCCACATGCATTGGACTATATTCGTACTGTGGAACTATTAGGAAATGACCTTGAGGTTACCAAGGTAGACTTAACTGATGTTTTACCACCAGCTACTAAAATGGTTATCAGTGTCACTGCATCCACTACTCAAGGAGAGAAACTTGATGATGATGAAGTCGAGAGGATAACGGAAGCTTGTGGAATGGTTACTGATCTTTTAGAGGCCAAACTGAAGATTTTAAACTATGTTGAGTCACGGATGGCATTTATTGCTCCTAATTTATCGATAATTGTTGGTTCGTCCACTGCAGCGAAGCTAATGGGAGCCGCAGGTGGCTTGACAGGGCTATCAAAGATGCCTGCTTGTAATTTGCTGGTGTTAGGTGCACAAAAGAGAACATTATCAGGATTTTCAAGTGCTGCTGCCATGCCTCACACAGGGTTTATCTATTACAGTGATGTTGT